TTTGGGTCTTATTTTGAGACAGACAGGGTCTCACTCTGTCACCCAGGCTGGAGTTCAGTGATGCGATCTCGGTTCACTACAACCTCCACATCCCTGGGCTCAAGTGATCCTCCCTCCTGAGTAGCTGGGACTACAGGCACACGCCACCATGCCTGGCTAAGTTTTTGTATTTTTGGTACAGACAGGGTTTCACCATGTTGCCCAAGTTCTCTTGAACTCCTGAGATCAAGTGATCCACCCACCTCGGCCTCTCAAGGTGCTGGGATTACAGGCATGAGCCACCGTGCCCAGCCTTTTTGGGATCTTAAGAAATTTTGGCAGGCTAGGTGCAGTGGCTCACGCACAGGTGTGTAATCCTAGTCCTTTGGGAGACTGAGGCTGGAGGATCGCTTGAGGCCAGGAGTCTGAGTCCAGCCCGGGCAACATAATGAGACTCTGTCTCTACAAAAAAATTTAAAATTATCCAAGCAGGGAGGCATGTGCCTGTAATCCCAACTACTCTGGAGACTGAGGTGCGAGGATCGTTTGACCCTGGGAGGTCAAGTCTACAGTGTTTTTTTTTTGTGCCACTGCACTCAAACCTGGGCAACAGAGAGTGACCCTGTCTCAAAACTTTTTTTTAAACTAAAAGACCTACATGAAAGTCATGAATATATTCCCCTTTTATCTTCTAGAAACTTTACCATTTACCCTTTCACATTTAGATTTAGCATCTACCTGAAAGTGATTTTTGTTTTTTTTTGACATAGGGGCATGCGTTTTTTCCACTGGGACATTCAATGGCACATCTATAAACACCTTTCCCTTGCTGCACTGCATGCTACCCTTGTCATGTGTGTATATACATATCCACACACCTGTGGACTTCTTGCTGGACCTCATTCTACTACTGATCATCTGTGATTATTTATTTTTTTTTTTGCCACAGCCATGTATTCCTTGTAATGATAATAACTACAATGGAAGCAATAATTTTTTTTTAAATAACAGAAGCAGTTATTTTTTAAAACCCACAGACAACTGTGTGGCAGGCAGTTTGTCTACCGCTACTTCTAGCACACTCAGTAAGGAGACAGTGTCTTAATGTAGTCTCTTTTTTTTCTAATCTGGGTCTCTCTTTCTGCACTAAATATTAATGGGCACTACTACTACTTTTTTTTTTACATAGCTTATATTCACATAGCATTTACTACGTGCCAGGCACTTTTCTAAGTTTTTTTTACAATAACTCATTTAATCTTCCCAATACGTCTTTGAGGTAGGTGCTATTTATCTCTTTTACAGATGAGAAAATTTAATCATGACTTGCTCAAATTGCCCGGCCAGTAAGTGATGCAGCCAGGACTTGAACACAGGCCAGTCTGGCTCCAGGGTCTGTGCTCTCAACTAGTACTTTTTTTTCGTCTCTTATGGGCAGTGGGGCAATGTATTTTCTTGCAAACCACAACATGCAGCCAGGCAACAGAGAACAAGAGCACTTATCTCCAACTTGGTTAAACATTCCATGCAAGTGATGGAGATGTGGCCCAACATAAAAACCTTTAATGATGTGACTCCTGTTTTCCTTTCCAACTTTTTTTTCCTCCAAAGCCTCCAAACATACTGTTCTGTGTTCTTTTATGTAGTGATGAGTTTTTTTTTACAAGAGGAGACAGGAAAAAGTTTCTTACACTCACAGGTCCTAGAAACAGATTTTTTTTTACACCATGCACAGCCACAGGGGAAAGCGCCAGTCAGGAGGCGGGAGCCCCAGGAGCCAGGGGAGAGCCTGGGCGCTTACTGGAGTTTCCGAGGAAATGGTGAGGCAGGGCGGGGTCAACAGTTTGGGATCGGCTCATTGGAATAATTTCAGTGTGCTGTAAACTACAGAGGTAGTCCCTAGTTGCCTGTTACCTGGCCCTGGGATGATTTAAGGAAGAGGAACATTGCCTCCTGGGATGTCGGGGCCACAGAGGAGGTGTGGCTCAGGGCTATAGTTCGTAAATCAAAGGTATGCTCCCACCTGAGTCCTTTGCTGTCTAGAAGAATTGGGGACCCCCAGGAGGGGCAATCATTTTTTTTAAGGGAAGTTTCTTAAAATGACAAAACATCTTATACAATTTTTAAAATATAAGTAGTACATGTACTCTGTATTCAAACTGCCCGTAGTGCCCCTAACTGCCATGTGCTGCTTTTTTTTTTAGCACATACTGTTCCATGCTTTGGTTGCATTTTTGTTTGTTTGTTTGCTTATTTTTTTTTCTTAGATCAAATCCGCTTCTCTGAGGTCAAAGCCCTGATGACCCAGAAGTACTTTTTTTTGCTTTCCTTACATCACACCCCGGAACTGCAGCACGTTTCATATTGCTGTCATTTTTTTTTATTTTACCTGTTTCTCCTACTAATTATAAGACCCTTCTGAGGTGCTGGGAGTTTTTTTTTGTAGAAACATTGTTGGAATGAATGAGCAAATGAAAAAAACTCTCCCTCCCAGTTTTTTTTCTACACTCTTCCTGTTCTCTCCACCCTCTGTCATGAACTGTGTCTCCCACAGGGGTGTTTTCTCCTTTTATGTTTTACGTGTATCGCTGACTTCTCTCTGGGCCTCTTCCTGTTTTTTTTGGGGGTGGCTGAGGAAGAAGGTGGGCTCAGAATTTTCATTGGTCAGTTATTGTTTTTTTTAATCTGAGTTTTAATATCATATTATTAATTTATTAGCAATATAAAAATATACTTTTTTTTAGATATTTTAAACTAAAAATAAAAATTCCAGCATTCGTATTTACTCAACGTTTTTTTTTTATTTTAAGAAACTAATCCTGGCCAGGTGTAGCGGCTCACACCTGTAATCCCATTTTTTTTGGAGGCCGAGGTGGGTGAATCTCTTGATCAGGAGTTCAAGACCAGCCTGGGCAGCATGGTGAACCCTTGTCTCTACAAAAAAATCCACAAAAAATTAGCTGGGTGTGGTGGCGCACACCTGTTGTTCCAGCTACTTGGGAGGCTGAGGTGGAGGACTGCTTGAGCCTAGGAGGTGGAGGTTACAGTGGGCTAAAATCGTGCCACTGCATTCCAACCTGGGTGACAAGAGGGATTTTTTTTCTCTCTCTCTCTCTCTCACACACGCACACATGAAACTAAGCCTTACAATAAGTTTTTTTTAAAAAATATTATTTTCATTGTAGAGATGTAGAATGAAGCTCAATGATGGCAATTTTTTTTGTTCAAGATACCAAAGTTTGTAAGTGACGGGCAAAATTCTAATTTGAATCCAGGTTCTGTTGCTAAATTTGGAGGATTTTCCATTAAGCCGCACTGCTCACTGCTCCTTGACTTTTTTTTGTTTCCCCTCAGCTTTTATTTGTCACTATTTACAAAAAAGATACATGCTTCATTTTTTTTAGCGCTGAGTTAATGATCATTTTGAATGTTCCTCAATGTAGGTAATCAGCAAAGCCTTCTGAAAAGGCAGTTAGGACAGCAATGCCAGAGAAGCAAGCATTTACAAATCTCCTTTTTTTTAGACACTGGTCTACAGAAGTATTTTAGGACCCTGTACATTTCTAAGGAGCACTTTTTTTTCACAACAGCTTATAAAGAACCTCTCTAGGTTTTGTTTCATTATGAAATGATGTTTTTTTTTCAAATGTTTCTAGAAAATCAGTAAAATCAGGGATATAAGATTCAAAGTACAGTGATTGGGTACTACAGAAATAGACAAAGGGTAATGAATCTAGTGAATAATTATGCACATTTTTTTTTAATGTAAATTGTGACAATGTGAACAAAGGAGTCGACAGTGTATGAAAATCTGAACACATTTTTATGCATCTAACCAAAATAAAAATATCATACAAAATTAATTTAGAATGATTCTAAATGTTTTCTCTGTTTTAATTTATCAGCAAGTAAGCCAATTGATCCTTTATTGTGATTTTTTTTACTTAAAAACATTTGCACTAAAATTAACTTCTTCTATGTTGAATGATGGTTGTTTTTTTTTCATACGTTTCTGACTGAGTGGTTTTAAAAATCCATGCCGGTACACGTATTTATCTCTGCAGCTTTTATAAAGGCATTCCTGTACTGTGATCCTTCAGAAACTGCACTTTCATTTTTTTTCTTTTCAGTCATCCTCAAGATTCAGGGAAATGTAAAAGATTCAACTTTGGCATTTTTTTTGACCTCTGCCCCAATAATGCTATATTCCTAAATGCTACTCCGTGAGATATACTTTTTTTTAATAGAAAACAGAAACACCAAATGTTTTAGTATATATTTTCAACTGAGAAAATATAAACAATATTTATACAGTATTCCATTTTAAGTATTTACACAGCATTAACATAGAAAGTTTTTTTTAACATGATACATTTACAGTTTTTTGTTTCTGTTTTTTTCTGAGACAGGGTCTTTTTTTTTCGTCCAGGCTGTAGTGCAGTGGTGCTATCTGGCTCACTGCAGCCTCCACCTCCTGGTTTCAAGCAATTCTTGTTCCTCAGCCTCCCAAGTAGCTGGGATTACAGGCCACCACATCCAACTAGTTTTTGTATTTTTTGTAGATATGGGGTTTTGCCATGTTGGCCAGGCTGGTCTTGAACTCCTGACTTGAAGTGATCCACCCGCCTTGGCCTTCCAAAGTGTTGGGATTACATTTTTTTTCCACAGCACCCAGCCTTACTGTTTGCTATTTACAATCTTTAAACATAATTGATTTTTTTTACTTTGGAAGATAACTCTAAAAATATTAAGTAATTAAAATATATAAAAAATGTTTTTTTTAAAAATGTCACATATGATAACTTAATAAATGTAAACTATATTAGAAATGCAATTTTTTTTCATGGAAAGAGCATACTGACGTAATACAGGTATACAAAGGAATGAAAAGATATCATTTCATGAGATGCATATCAATCCAACAGTGAATTAATCCACTGCCAACTAGGGTAAGTTTTTTTTATAAGGTAAATTGAATCAGCAATAACAGAATTTAAAATTTCTAAGTAAACCTTTTTTTTTCTTTCAACATTTATTTAACCACAAGCACACAAAACATGAAAATATCAAACTGAAAACTAGTCTTAAACTTGGAATCGAATTACTTTGTCAATGTGAGAAAATTCAGGCAGCTTTTTTTTTATAAAATAATCCACAGAGAAAATTGATGGGGACTGTTTTAATTATCATTAAATTTTTTTTTGCTGAAAGCAACATTTAGAATTTTTTTTGGCCTCACTGTCAGTGTTAATTTTTTTTTTTCTGCATTAAATACCACACACAATGGGAAAACAATATTTTCTGTTTTATCACATTTTTTTTTCCAAGTTATAAAAATAAATCTTTCTGCAAATAAAAAACAAAAACAGAATAGTTTGCATTAAAAGTTTTTAAAATATGGCAAACTAACCTGATATCATGACATTTTTTTGGCTTTTTTTTTACTGAGTCTTTAAGTTATTTATTCAGGAAGTTAAATCAAAAATCTTTGATCCACCAATGTTTTGGACACCAAATTCTTTTGTCCTACTGTATTACGGATATATCTAAAAATCTGGAAAATTAAAATAATTCAGAATGAAAAGAAATATAAACAAAATTAAATATGCACATCTTTTTTTTCATCTAGATTAAATTAGCTAATTCTCTCAACTATTTTCATGTATCAGGCATCTGAATCCCATGGTGATACACAAAATTATTTCAAGATGATAATTTTGTTCATAGTTTCAAATTTTTTTTTGTTCCCATTTAGAGTAAATTCTTATGAATTAATAATACAAATTCTCTCATGTTCACAGGGATACATTTTAAAATATTTAGAAAGGCAACTTTCTTCTAAGTCTAAAACTAATTTTTTTTCAAAAGAATCTACTCGCTAGGGAGATAATTTCTGCACAATTCTAGATCACTGTTTTTTTTTAATAAATTGCATCTTACTCATATATACTTCTTTGACATAGTGGAGAATATTTTTTTTTTAATAACACCATTTCAAGAACAGATTTGCCATTTCTTGAAATCTCTATTTCAGTTTTTTTTCTCATACACAAAGTTGCTTTTCATCTACACTGGTAGACGAGGTGTCAAAGCTGCAGGCTAAAGGGGGCTTCCCTTTGGTGCTGAGCCCTGAGCTAGCTCTCCAGTGCCTGTTTTTTTGTTACTTAACATCTGGTGGAGAGGGTGGATGGGACTCTAATTACTGTTCACTTGTTTTTTTTTGGAGACTAGTAGTTAAATGTCTTCCTATAGGATTCCTCTTCCATGTATAATCTTTTTTTTGATGCCCTCCACTAGACCTCAGTATTTCATTGACCCTAAAGGACAGAGTACATTTTTTTTAAATGTTATTCCTCCTTTTGGTGGGGTTAGTCATATTCTAAACCTTTACAAATTTTTTTTAAAAGTAGACATTGTTACTCTTTGCTATGAAAATATCTACTTCTAACATATTTCTCTCAAGAAAATGAAGGGAAATGTAGAAAAATTTTTAAAATTTACCTCTTGTTGTAGATATGTAAGGAAGGATGCTAAAATAAAATTTTGGCAAGCCAAATCCACAACACAGAAGAACTTTTTTTTAAAAATAAGAAGGGTAGCTTCATTTCCATAATACAGGACACTGCTGAAAGAATTTTTTTTATCTATTAAAAAAGTTTTGAAAATATAAATTAGAAATTTAAAAAAGGAACAAGTCTGTGATAAATTTCTGGTGACAAAATCTGGATATTTAAAAATAGCACATTAGAAACATTTTTTTTTCAATAATTCATGGCTTACACAAAAATAAACAAAATAATTAAATTAAAGATAAACAAAAATTTTAAGATTTGCTCATCTAAAAGAGGTTAGTTAAAAAACTCATAACACCTCCTTTTTTTTAGTTTTAACATTAGGACCAATGGTTGGTAACTGCTAGTAGTGTAAGTTTCAATTTTTTTTTAATAAATAGCCTTTCTCTATTTCTTTATGTAACTAAAAGCTAAATTAATCTTTTTTTTTTTCCCTAAGATAGAGTATATTAGAGAAAAAACCCAGCAAGGCACAGAATAGTTTTTTTTTTTCAAGAGTTCAATAATTTATTTCAAATAGTCCCCTTAAGGTTTTGCTCTAATTTTTTTTCTCACTCCACCAGCGGGTTTCATCCTTATTGGGATGTGAACACCCTTTTAAAAAGATTATGATGAGGCCGGGCACAGTGTCTCATGCCTGTAATTCCAGCACTCTGGGAGGCTGAGGCAGGAGGACTGCTTGAGGCCAGGAGTTCAAGACCAGCCTAGGCAACATAGCGAGATTTTTTTTCTACCAAAAAAAAAGAAAAAGGATCTGGTGGTGCACACCTGTAGTCTTAGCTTTTTTTTTGACTGAGATGGGAGGAGTGCATGAACCCAGGAGTCTGAGGTTATAGCGAGCTTTTTTTTTGATTGCACCACTGCACTCTAGCCTGGGCAACAGAGCAAAAACCTGTCTCTAATTTTTTTTACAAACAAACAAACAAAAAACTACAAAAGCCTGATGAAAGCTAAAGACTCTTTTTTTTTTAAAAAAAAAACCAAAAAACAAAAAACAAAAAAAAACTATACATATACAAGTCTTTTTTTTAATTTCAGGGAAATCCAGAAAACCACTGAAGCAGCCCGGGGATACCCAGTTATTTTTTTTTGCTTTATACAAGGGGGCATCTGGAGTGCTGGTAATGTTCTCTCTTGAAAGGTTTTTTTTTACAGGGGTATATTCAGTTTGTGAAAATTCACTGACCTATAAGTTATATCCTTTTTTTTTGTGCACATTATACTTGCATATATAATCTTAAAAATAAACCTGTTTTACATACTTTTTTTTGGTGATTTTCTACTAACACTGCTCCAGCAATGACTTCATATGATAGCAACTCTTTTTTTTATTGTGTGCTTCTACTTTCTCCTACGACCTGGTCCCTTATATTTAATGCCTATTTTTTTTCTCTTCCTAGATGTCCTAAAGTACCTCAAGATGCAACATACTGAAAACTAAATTTTTTTTCTTTCCCTCAAAACCTGGTCCTCCTTCTGTATTGCCTCTGTTGTTGAAAGGCTTTTTTTTCCACTTAGTCACACAGCGAGAAGTCTGGATAATTTTTTACTAGTCTTTTCCCTTTTTTTTTCTGGCAATCCTTTCTTCTCTAGCCCCACTGCTACTGCCTTAGCTCATAGTCTCATCACCTCTTGATGAGGACGAAGATAGTGAGGCCAGGAGCGGTGGCTCACACCTGTAATCCCACTTTGGGAGGCTGAGGTGGGCAGGTCACTTGAGGTCAGGAGTTCGAGGCCAGCCTGGCCAATATGGTGAAACTCCATCTTTACCAAAAACACAAAAATTAGCCAGGTGTGGTGGCAGGCACCTGTAATTCCAGCTACTCGAGTAGCTGAGGCAGGAGAATTGCTTGAACCTGGGAGGCAGAGGTTGCAGTGAGCCAAGATTGCGCCACTGCACTCCAGCCTGGACAATAGAGCGATTTTTTTTCTCCAAAAAAAAAAAAGAAGAAGAAGATAGATAGATGGAAGAACACAGTTAGTTTTTTTTGGAAGATAGGAGGAAGAGGAAGGAAGACTGAAGGAGAAAGGAAGAAAAAAAGTTTTTTTTAAGAAGGTGACTATTGTATTATTAAAAATAATAGGGCCAGGCGCGGTGGCTCTTTTTTTTAATCCCAGCACTTTGGGAGGCCGAGGCGGGCAGATCACCTGAGGTCACGAGTTTTTTTTTAGCCTGGCCAATATGGTGAAACTCCATCTTTACTAAAAATACAAAAATTAGCTTTTTTTTGTGGCACATGCCTGTAATCCCAGCTACTTGGGAGGCTGAGGCAGGAGAATCATTTTTTTTTGGGAGGCGGAGGTTGCAGTGTGCCAAGATCACACCACTGCACTCCAGCCTGTTTTTTTTGAGTGAAACTCCATCTCAAAAAATAATAATAATAATAATAACATTTCCTTTTCTGAGTGCCTGTCCATAACAGATACTTTAGTGGGTTCTTTATATTAACACATAATAACTCTTTTTTTTTTTTAGAGGATTGTAACCAATTTTACAAAGAAGGCATTAAAGTTCAGAAAGGCTAAGCAAGTTTCTCAAAGTTCACAAAGCCAGTAAATGGTAGAGTCAGGTTTTGAATGTATTTTTTTTAGACTTTGAAAGCTACAATATTTTTGTTTGTCTGTTTTTGTTTTACAGAGACAGGGTCTTGCTCTGCCACCCAGGCTATAGTGCTACGGCATGATCATAACTCACTGCAGCCTTGAACTGCTCAAGTGACCGCCTGCCTTGGTCTCCCAAAGGGCTGGTATTACAGGTGTGAGCCACTATGCCCTGGAGGAAAGCTATAATCCTAATGTCTCAACTATGCTATTACAATTTTGCATCTATTTAAACTCAACTTGTAACCTACTAACAGAGTAATTCTCCAATTTACAAATTCTTTTTTTTTTAGCACCCTTCAGTGATATATCCATGTTCATTAGCAGTGGTTTCTTTTTCTTTTTTTTTCTTTTTTTTTTTTTACAGAGAGAGTTTTGCTCTTGTTGCCCAGGCTGGAGTGTTTTTTTTCGATCTCAGCTCACCACAACCTCCGCCTCCTGGGTTCAAGCAATTCTCCTGCTTTTTTTTCCCAAGTAGCTGGGATTACAGGCAATGCACCGCCACTCCCGGCTAATTTTGTTTTTTTTTTAGAGACAGGGTTTCACCATGTTGGCCAGGCTGGTCTTGAACTCCTGACCTCAGGTGATCCGCCTGCCTCGGCCTCCCAAAGTGCTGGGATTACAGGCATGAGCCACCGCACTTTTTTTTATTAGCAGTGGTTTCTAAATCACTTTGATCATGCATCCCTATCAGAATAAGATTTTTTTTATGCAACCCATAATAGATATAATAGAAATATTTTATTAATTAATACTCCATATTTTTTTTAAAATAGATTAATGGTGATTAAATTGCAAATTTATACAAATAGACATTTTAATATTTTCTTCTCACGCCTCCATGGATCAACTTATATACATCTTGTGGGGCAAAAAATTTATTTTTTTTTTTTAGAAACAACAGGTTTACAGGATAGAGTGAAACTCCTTAGTGTATCAGGTTTTTTTTTTGTAATTTGGTCTCTGCCTTCTTTATCTTTCAAGTACTCTCTTCCACTGTGTCCCACTTCATATCAGACTTTATAAAGTTTGAAAGTGCATAATGCACTTTGCGCACTGTTTTTTTTTTCCCTTTTCCCTGTCTGCATGAATGTCTTTGCCTCCCTCTCTTACCTTAATCCTTTTTTTTGACAAACAGCTACTGAGTTTTTAAAACTCAGTTCAAACTTCTCCATGTTGCCCCTTCTGGCTTTACCTCATATCTGGTTAGATTTTCTATGCTCCCTTCTGTCCCCGGCACAACCTGTGCCTGTACAGACTTCTATGCCAGTACCACCCTCTTTATTCACATGTTTGTCTTCTACAGTCTGTTAAACAAGATACCCAAGGTAGGGATCATTCGTCTGTGTATCTCAGACTGATTTTTTTTCTGGCATGCAATAACATATGGGTAAAGGATATCTAGGCCAGGGCATTGGTTATTTTTTTTCCATTCTTACTCATACAATACGTCATCAGTCATACTACAAATGACATGTATATTTTTTTTTTAATATGAAACCAGGTTTAATCACTATTCCTGTCACAAATGTTAGCAATTTTTTTTTTTTTGGATAAGATAAAAAATTAAGTATTAAAGATTAATCACAAATGTTATTCTTCTTTAAGTGTTTCATATGTTTGGCATTAAACGAACGTTCCAATAAAATCTGAATTTTATTTGTTTTACTATCTCCTCCATGTGGACTGTTGATTCTGAAATTCACCTTTTCTACTTTCTTATAGAATCTTTTATGTGTTTGTTTCCTGCTATATGACATAATAAAATAGAACACAGAAAATTTTTTTTATTCATGAGGTTAACTGAGTTCATTGTATTTCCTTTGTTTTTATGTAAAGTTTTTTTTTTTATTTGAAACAGAATTTCACTCTTGTTACCCAGGTTGGAGTGCAATGGAGTGAACCCAGCTCACTGCAACCTCCACCTCCCAGGTTCAAGTCATTCTCCTGCCTCAGCCTCCTTTTTTTTTGGGACTATATGTGCCTGCCACCATGCCTGGCTAAATTTTGTATTTTTAGAATTTTTTTTTTTCACCATGTTGGCAGGTTGGTCTGGAACCCCTAACCTCAGGTGATCCACCTGCCTCAGCCTCCCAAAGTGCTGGGATTACAGGTATGAACCAATGCGCCTATCCATAAAATTTTTTTTTCAAAAGAAAAATATCAGCTGGGCTTGGTCGCTCATGCCTGTAATCCCAGCATTTTTTTTGGCCAAGGTGGGTGGATCACGAGGTCAAGACATCAAGACCATCCTGGTTAACTTTTTTTTACCCCGTCTCTAGTGAAAAAAATTAACCGGGCGTGGTGGTGGGTGCCTGTAGTCCCAGCTACTCAGGAGGCTGAGGCAGGAGAACGGCGTGAACCCGGGAGATGGAGCTTGCAGTGAGCTGAGATCGTATCACTGTACTCCAGCCTGGGCGATACAGCGAGACTCCATCTCAAAAAAAAAAAAGAAAAAACGAAAAATATCTACAAGCACTTTTTTCTCAAACTTTGAAAACAGTTATCAAGTTCTACAAAGGGATTTAAAAGATACCATTGTAAAAGATGCTTTTTTCCATTTTTTTTTTGAATTCCATTCCAAGAATTCTTTCAAGAAGCAACTTATCTTTTATAAAGTATTTTTTTTCCTTATGAACCTAATAAAAAAAAAGACAGCATCATTTCAAAAACAGCAGTGAAATAAATGCTTTGCAATGAATGTAAAATCAGCAGGAGAGAAAATGAAAAATGAACAGTACTTTTTTTTAATCTGTTCTTCAAAAAGACTGAATTTACTACACTGAAACCTGTAACAAACTTTTTTTTTGGAATGTTTTAAATTTTAAATGCCCTTAGTAGCATTTAGGGCTAGATATACTTTTTTTTTATTTATAAAATGCTTTTCAGAAGTACAATCATAGCATAACACAAGGATTTCATTTTTTTTTAATACAGTAATATTTTGGGAACTGGCTAACAAAATTCCAGTGCAGATATAGTTTTTTTTAATCATCATTATGTTAACAGACAAAGAAAATTTCATTTTACTTTTGCATAACTTTTTTTTATCCCTAAGCCATAGTTTGTTAATGGCTAGAAATGTCTTTTAAAAATATATTATTCCTAAGTATTGAATGTGACAGACAAAAAAAGGGAAGGTCCTAAGCGGGGGGGTTCTAAGTTTACTGACTTGGTTGACTTGAAGAAATAATTGACATTCCCACTTAACCTTTTAAAAACTGCATTTGATCCCAGCTTAAATATAAATGTTGACATACATACATGGTCAATGAAGGAGCTTTTTTTTTTATTCATCATATGATATGCCTTTATACTCTGCTCAAAAGTATTTTCTGATGTTTTTTTTAGTCTAGCAGGACCATTTTTCTAATGTAAAAAAGAGAAATAAATAAATACAAAGTCTTATGTTCTTGGTATCTAAAAAACATTAAATATTGACAGAATATATCTGAACTGTACTTTATACAAACCCTTATTAGTGTCTCATGAATTCTGTCATAATGTTGTCTCATCTGGTTAGAAATTGCAATCTCAAAAGTCTGACCATCTGTGTTGGGTACCAAACCTCGCTGGCTACACAAATTTTCCTGAAAAGTTAAAGAATTTAAGTTAAGATCAAAATTGTAAAAAATTTCCTGCCTCAAAAAGAAAATACAGACTGTTTTTTAGCTGTTATCATGTATTACAAGATTCAGGTGCTAAGTGAAATTCACTGAAACTGTATTTGAGAAACAGATTCTACCATTATCCAAGGTTCCTTTTTTTTGCTAATTTCTACTTTATTCTAATTCATACTCCCTTACAGGTCTTTATATCATTTTTTTTTCTCTACTTAAAAAAAAAAAAATTTATCTATAATATCTAAATATATCTATTTATTTTTTTTTCACATACACATTTATATATTTAAGTAGAGCATATATATATTTTTAGGTAGATTTTTTTTATTTAAGTAGAGCAAAGGAGATGATATAAAGACTATATATATGTTTATTGTATTTTTTTTTTCTTAGCTTCCCTTATAATGAAGATTATTGCTCTTTTAATGTATGCTGAAATTTTTTTTTTTGGAGTTAACTAGTTTTATAATTGCAAATGATCTTTTTTGTTTTCTAAACATTTTTGAGATGCTTCCTTAATTAATTCCAATAAAACATAGTGATACATGACCAAACAGTTTTTTTTTTGAACCAGATATCCATATTCATTTTGGGTTTCCCTGATACAACTTGGATCCTGACAACCACAAATATGTAAAAAATGTTTGATTTGATTGATGCTTCAAGGCTCGACTCAAGTTCTCTGGCCTATATAAAGCCTGTCTACCTACTCCAGAGGTTAATATTTTCCTTCTTTGTTTTTTTTTAACCTGAAAACATAATATGGCACTTGGCTTTCTATACAGTTAAAGGGAGAATTTTTTTTTTGAACTTCTTTATTGAAAATTTTTTTTCTTGATTAAAAACATGCATGCCATTTTTTTTTTTTTACAAAATAAAGAGAAATACAAAAAAGAAAAGAAAAAAAATTACCTAGTCTCAACACCCAGAAATATAGATATATTAAGGAATTTCATTTCCAGTCTTTTGTCTAAGGGATTTTTTTTTAAATAGCATAAAATTGGGATCACAATGACTTCTTTTTCACTTAATGTTATATTTTTTTTAATTCCTCATGTCATTAAATATTCTATAAAACATGATTTTACCATCTACTTAAGATTTCACCATAAAGGTAAGCCAATTTATTTAATATTCTCCAATTTTTACATACTTTTTTTTTTTTTAATAACTCCTGTGATAAAGATCCTGAATTTAAGTAGCTGTTCATATTGTTAATTTTTTTTTGAGTTAACATTCATAAAATCAGTGAATTAAAGATCATGAACTTTAAAAAGCTTTTTTTTTATACGTTGCCCAAACACTTTCAAGAAGGTCTGCATAAATTCAACCTGCCACCAGTAGCTTTGTGGTTGCCCATTTCACTATGTCCTTGATGCTATTAAGTATTAGCTTTTCTAAAAAAATTTTGCTAATTTGAAGAGGGGAAAATCATTATTTTTATATTCAGCTCTTTGATTATGAGTTAAAATCTTTTTAGAGGTTTATTAGTGTCTATTGGTCATTTTTCCATTGAGATTTTAATTTAGTGTTTTCTTAGTGATTTGCATATCTTTCAATATTGTTATCAATATCTTTTTTTTTTTTATTATAAGTATTTTACTCTAATTTACTACCTTTTATTTATGATTGCTTGATTTTTTTTTGTACTATATTAATAAAGTAACATCAATTAATATTTTTTTGATGCTTTCTATTTTTTTTTTTTAGAATATCATCCTCCAGTCTGAAATATTCTTTTCTAGGTTTTTATGGCTTTTTTTTTTACATTTAACTTTTTAATCACAAGGTAATTTCTAATGTTTAATCAAGTGATCCTTTTTTTTGTATTAAATAAATTCTTCTCTGAAATGCCATTATCACGTATCAAATTCTTACAAGTCACAGGTATGGCCCTTAATCACTAAATCCTCTTGGTTTTTCTGCTTAAGCACATCCTATTTTCTAAAAAATTTTATTATGGAAGTTTTCCAAATGTACATAGTAGAGAGAACAGTAAACCACTCACTACCTAGCTTCAGCAATTACTAATATTTTATCAATTTTGTTTCATCTATCTTTTTTTTTTTTCTTTTTTCTTAGAGTATTTTAAAGTAAAGCCCAGACTATGTCATTTCATTTTTTTTTGCTTTGTATGCATTTCTAATAAGAACTTTAAAATAAATAACTACCATGCCATTTTTTTTCCTAACAAAATTAGTTATTTCTTAACATTTAGTCCACTAAAAATCTCTCCCAGATTTTTTAAATAGTTGGTTTGTCTGAATCAGGATCCAAATAAAGTCCACATATTGTATCTTTTTTTTTTGTTTTTCAAATCTTTCTTATAATGTAATAGTTCGTACACTGCCACCATCATCCTTCCTTCTCTTTTCAAGGCATTGATTTGTCTGGAGACACTAAGTAATTTATCCTGTGAGGCAGCCTATACCCAGACCTGGCTAATTACTTTCTATGGCACTATTTAATTTGTCCCTTTTTTTTTTGTATTTCCTGTAAACTGGTGATTAGGCTAGAGGGTTGATTATATTCAGGTTCTTTTTTTTAGGCAAAAATACTTCATTGGTGTTATATACTTCCTACTGCATCATGGCAGGAAGTGTATATGTCAGTTATCCTTATTTTTATTTACAGGGCGTCTAAATTACGTCAACCTGATCCCTCATTATAAAGTTCCCTGTCAACAATCACTTAATTGTTTAGCATCCACTGATGATGTTTTTTTTCATTCATCAATCCATTAGTCGCTGCAAAATGGTAATTTTTCTAACTTAGAATTTTTTTTTCTTTCTTCTATAAAGAGAAACTTTCCCTCATGAATTATCTGGTTACTGTGAATTTTTTTTCATATAGGAACTACAAGATAAAATTAGATTCTTTGCCTTCAAGGCGACGTGGGTGCCATCTGAGGTCAGTGAGATCGAAACGGAAAAAACCATCTTTGGCTTAACACAGGTGAACGCTCGTGCTCTACAAAAAATACAAAAAAAATTAGCTGGGCCGTTGTGCCGCGCCTGTAGTCCAGCTACTCACGAGGCCTGAGAGAATGGCGCAACCCGGAGGCGGAACTTGCAGTAAGCCGAGATCGCACCACGCACTCCAGCTGGGCGACAGAGCGAGACTCTGTCTCAAAAAAAAAAAAAAAAAAAAAAAAAAAAATTGCTAGGACCAGCTCAACCCTGAACATCCACA